CCGGCGGAGTCGTGGGCGCCGCTGTTCCCGCGCCTGACGAAACTGGACTGCGGCACGAACGCGAGCAACCACGCGCTCCGCGTCGACCGCGTCGTCAAGGCGCTCGAGGCCCTGCCGGACGTCGCGCACGTGGACTTCGACGGCGTGTCGCTCGGCGCGGGCGATCTGCCGCGCATCGTCGACGCCGCCGGCGACCGCCTCGTGACGATTGATTTCGAGGACGCCTGCGTGCCCGTCGGCGACCTCGTCGACTGCTGCGCGCGGTGCCCGCACCTGCGGCGCCTCACGCTTCCCTGCACGACGGGCTGCCCGGACTTGGAGCGGCGTCTGGGCGACGTCGCGGCGGCGGCGCCGAAGCTCGCGGGCTGCATCCTGCCCGAGGCTGTGTGGAAATCAAATCTTCAACCCGACTTCAATGTGAGCGTATGCGACGGTTTCGACGCGAGCTCTTCTTCTATGCTTCGAGAACTTGACGAGAGCAATCGATCCGTCCAAAAATCAGCCGAATCGACGTCGATTGGACCGAGATAGAGAGTTCTGAAGTTTGGTGGGAACCCCCCAAACCAGTGGTTGATTTCCACACAGGCCCGAGGACAGCTGCATCGGCGACGAGGACCTCGAGCCCTTTTTCGCGGGGCTCGCGCTGACGCACTGCGAGATCCGCCTCAGCGACTACGCGACGAACGCGGCGCTCTATTGCCTGTTGAACGGGCCGTCGCGCGAGACGCTCCGCATCTTCTCGGTGGAGCACGCGCCGGGCGTCACGATCCGCGGCGTGCTGGCCGTGGTCATGGACTGCCCGAGGCTGTCGCACCTGCGCTGGGTCGCGAGCCGCGACTCGGAAGATCTGGTGGACGACCTCGAGACGATCCGCGATGTGCTGGCGCCGAAGCGCTTCCACCTCCCGCGCTGGCCCGGGCGGAGGAAGTCGAAGACGGACGTGGCCGACGCGGAGGTCGCCATCGCCGTCTTCTTCGACGTCGTGCTGAAGGCGCGCGGGGGCGGCGCGCTGATCGAGTTCTACTAAACGCGCGTGGGGAGAGATCTGGGAGAGCGGGAGGCGTCGACCATGCTCCGCACATGAGCTCCGGCATGAGGTCTTCAAGCCCATCAACGACGTCGCCCACGCCCACGCTCGCACTCGCACATCATCCCCTTCCTCATAGTGCCGCCCCGCGTCCCACATCGTGTACGACCCTAAAAAAATCGACCGCTCGCCACGCTTTCCGGGCAAACGGCCGCGGCGGCCGGGCGACGACCGAATCAACGGCGCGCCGTCGCGGCGCGCCGTCGCGGCGCGCCGTCGCGGCGCGCCGTATGAAACCTCGCGGTGCGCCGTACGACCGTCGCGCGCGGCCTTGGCGACCTTGGCGACGTGGCCGCATCCCGCGGCCCGTCCGCGGTTCGCCGATCGTAGACGATCGCGCGTCCGCCTCGGATCGGCCGATTTCGCCCGAACCCGCTTCCCCGCTGACCCATCGTCCGCCGACCACCACGTTGCCCGCCCCGCCCTCGCCCGCCCCCGCATCGCCCGCTCCGCGGATCGCCGACGCCCTCGGGCCCGAGCGCCCGAACGCGCCGGGACCCGCTCCTCGCGCTACGCGACCGAGACCTTACCCTCGCGCCCCCCTCACAGGCTTTCGCGCCGTATTAGCTACACAGTTCACACGAAGATGAATTGGAACGCGTTCCTGCTCCTCGCGCTCGGCGTCGTCGCGAATGCGTCGGTGTTCGACGGCCTCGAGGGGTCCGACGCCAGCCCCGAGGCGGTCCCGTCCGACGACGCCGAGGACGCGGACGTCGATGGTCTACCGGGCGTCGAGGACTCGGCCCGCCATCTCTCGGAAGCGTGCGCGGACTCGGAGACGTGGTACCAGGGCACGAAGAAGTGGAAGACCTGCGCGTGGGTCGGCAAGTCGCCCGCGAAGCGCTGCAAGGCCGCCTGGGTCATACACGGCGTCAAGGCCAAGGTCGCCTGCCCCGTGGCGTGCGGCATCTGCCCCACGACGTTCTGCGCGATTGAGCGTAGTGTTGCACAACGCATGCACATACTATCTTTTATCCATCACTCCGTTGATATGAGTGCCTTTGTAGCGCATCATGTAGACATACTTGGTGTGGCTCCTACAAACCTGCACATTTTCGTTCACGGCGCCAAACTTGATGTTCCCGTACCGCGTGTAAACCTGCGTTATTATCCAAATATAACGTATACTTCCGCTGTCAAGCGAGATATTATAAACGCGCACCTTCGAGACCTCGGATCAAGACACCCGAATGCGCTCATAGCTCAAGTGGATGGCGATGAGCGACTTTATCTGCCCTGTTCGTGTACGTCTACAGACAAGATCATAATTGCAACGATGATCGATCGCTGGAACGAGACATCTCCGCTGTGCGCTAATGTGCGTGGGAGACTGTTAAAGGGCGGCATAAGAAAAATTGCCACGGCACCTATCATGTGCAACCGAAGAATTTTGCAGTTTAAAGGTTCGCAACGCGGCCATTACAACGGTACTAAATGCAAGATTTCCTCCTGTAAGGGTGCAATGGAACACTTCAGTCTCACAAAAACACAGTTTAAACTTGCCAAGGAGAAGCTTGCCACGTATCATAATGACAAGGAGAGAGGGCCGATTTACAAGCGCATGCTGGCGCATAATGACAGCTATTATTTTGACTGGATGCGTAAAAATCCAGTGATGTGCCCTTCTCTGCAGATGAATCGTGCCGATTCGGGTCACTGACGAACTACGCCATCATGCACGGCTGCGGAACGCACGAGCTCCCGCGAAATCAGGACATGGCATGGATCGTCGCCTTCGTCAAGTTCCCGCCGTTCAAGGACGCCGAGGGCAAATTCGACCACACGCAACACTGCTACATCTGCAAGCGCTCGCCGCCCGCGACCAGGGCGGCTACACCTTCGTCGAGCACGACAAGGCGGTAGGCGCGAACGGCCTCGTGTCGTCGCGCCTGACCAACTGCTGCATGACGTGCAACAGCGCGTGGGTCGCGGAGTTCGACCGGCTGAGCCGCGTCTACAAGCTCAACTTCAAGGAGAAGTGCGCCTTCGCGCGCAAGTACGCGGCCACTTCCACTAAAAGAAGTCGAGCGGCCAGCGCGGCTGTAGAGAGCGCTCGGAACTCCACCGCTCTTTTTATGCGCGCCCCTAGGGCTGGGCGCTCGGCGGCTCCGGGAGGTCCGTGTCGGGCCGCGCGGCCCCCGAGGAGGCCCCCGCGGCGCGGACGCGCTGGACGAGGGACGGCGGCAGGATCGCGTCGACGTCGTCGAAGCGGTCCGGGTCCGCGCAGATGACCTCGGCGCAGCAGTCGAAGAGGGACGGCGGGTTGAAGTAGCCGCAGAGCACGAGGGTGCCGTTGTTGCCGCAGGCGACCTCGAGGACGTCCCGGCGGCTCGCCTTGAGCCTCGAGACGACGCGCGGGAACTGCTCGTTGTCGACGTTGCCGTGGCCGAGCTGGCCCTTGTTCCCCGCGCCGCAGGAGTGGACCTCGCCGTCCTCCGTGAGGGCCACGGAGTGCTCGCCGCCGCAGGCGATCTGCGCGACGCGCTTCGCGCCGAGGCGGTCGAGGAGCCGAAAGTCCGGCTGGTACGGGTGGCCGCGCTCGTTGTGGGGGAACGACTCCGGGTCGCCGAGGCCGAGCTGGCCCTGGAAGTTGCGGCCGCAGACGTAGGCCGCGCCCTCGGCCGTCAGGAGCGCCGTGTGGCCCCAGCCCGCGACGACGCGGCGCACGCGGAGCCCGGACACGGAGTCGACGCGCCGCGGCCGCGGCACGAAGTGCGCGCCCTCGCCGTTGCGCGGCACGACGTCGTTGTTCGTGTAGCCGAGCTGGCCGACGCGGTTGTGGCCCCAGGTGTAGACGTCGGCGGGCGACACGAGGGCCACCGTGTGGTAGCCGCCCGGCCCGACGGAGATCTCGCGGACCGCGCGCCCCCCGAACGCGTCGAGGGGCCGCGGCGTGAGCACGTCCGCCGCCGCGCCGTGGCCCGTGTACTCGTGCTTGCCGAAGGAGTAGGCGACGCCGTCGACGCCCAGCGCGCACGTGTGCACGGAGCCCGCGTTGACGCGGCGGAGCGGCCGGTGCGGCCAGAGCGCGTCGACGCGCGACGGCTCGTGGCGGTCGTCGACCTGGGCAGGAAAAGAGAGATTCAAGTTCGCTTCAACGTGAATGTGCCGCGCGCGCGCGTTCCGGGAAAAGCATCCACGCTTCGAGACCGTTCCGAGAGATGATCGCTCGTCCAAAAATCAGCCGAAACGAGTGGAAAACGGCCGAGATCGGAGCCTTTGAAGTTGGGCATGTCGCTCTCTTTTCCTGCCCTGTCGTCGACGTCGCCCAAACCCAGGCGCCCGTTCTCGCCGGCGCCCCAGGTGTAGAGCGCGCCCTGGGCGCTCACGGCGGCCGTGTACGCGAAGCCGCACGCGACCTGCGCGCAGACGACGCCGACGAGCGCGCCTCGGACGAGCCGCGGCGCCTTGAGCGAGTGCGCGTCGCCGTGGCCCAGGCGCCCGAAGCCGCCGCGGCCCCAGGTGTAGACCTCGCCCGCCGCCGTCAGCACCGCCGCGTGCTGGCCGCCGCAGCACACGGCCGCGACGGCGACGCCGAGCAGGCCCTCGACGAGCGCGGGCGCGGGCTCGCCTGGCACAAGGGTGATTCGACGTCGCTTCAACGTGAGTGTTCCGCGCGCGCGCGTTCCGGAAAAAGCATCCACGCTTCGAGACCGTTCCGAGAGATGATCGCTCGTCCAAAAATCAGCCGAAACGAGTGGAACACGGCCGAGATCGGAGCCTTTGAAGTTGGGAATTTCGCACCCTTGTGCTGCCCCGGGGCTCGCCGCCCTGCGCGTCGTCGTCGACGGTGCCCATGGCGTAGACGACCCGCGCCGGGTCGGACAGCGCCACGAAGGCGCCGTAGAAGCCGCCGCCGCGGCCCCGGTGCTCCGCGAAGCGCCCGAACGACGCCATGGACACGAAGCCCGCGGCGTCGCGGACGCCGAGCGCGGGCTTGAGCAGCTCGAGCGTGCCCCGGGGCTGCTCGCCGAACTCGTCGACGACCGACGCCGTGAACTGGGCCCAGGGCACCTCGCTGGAGAAGCGGCCGAAGCGCTCGATCCAGAAGAGGCGGCTCGGCACGTCGGCGACCGCGAGCTCCGCGTCGTCGTCGCCGAGCGCGCCGCCGACGTAGCAGCTCCCGCTCTCCGCCGCGGGACCGCCGCTCAGGGACTCGGCGAGCTGCGACACCTTGCGCTCCACGTTGCGCAGCGTCGAGAGCGGGCTCCGGTCGCGGAACTCGGCCCCGAAGAAGTTGGACCGGCGCGTCCGCAGGTCCTCGAGCGCGTCGCGCGCGGCCCGCGCGCAGGCGAGCACGTAGGCGAGCGTCGACGCCGACCCGGCCTCGCGCTCGTGGAGCGCCCGCAGCGCCCGGTACAGCGCGCGCGCGAGGGCGCCCGTCGACGGGTAGCGCTGGCGCAGCGGCTCCTCGTCGTCGGCGTGCTTCTCCAGCATCTCCAGGGCGTCGAGGCAGGCCACGGTCACGGCCTCCACGCCCACCACGCGGGGGGACTCCATCGCGAAGTTTCCCCCCGGCACGGGGCGCGAGCGCGCGGGCACCGGCGCACCTCGATGGGCAGGATGCGCCGTCAAAGGTTGGCCTCCTCGAGGCCAATCCGCCACAACACGCCCCGCCACAAAAACTCGATCGCAAAAAACATCAGAGCTTGAAGCTTGCGCGCCATCAGAGTTGGCACCCTCGCGCCGTGACACCATGGACCTGGCGCGCGACGGCATCGCCGGCATCACGCTGGCGCTCACGTCGATTCCCCAGGCCGTGGCCTACGCGGAGCTCAGCGGCGTCGCCGGCTGGCGGGGCCTGGCGACCATGGGCTTCCCCTGCATGGCCTACGCGCTCGTCACGGGCTCGCCCTGGGCGTCCATCGGCGTCACGTCCATCACGGCGCTCATGGCGCGCACGGCCCTGGCGGACGCCCACGAGGCTTTAGACGAGGAGGCCTACGTCGCGGTCTACGCGTGCTTCGCCGTCGCCGTGGGCGTCGCGTCCGTCGCGCTCGCGGCGCTGGGCCTCGGCGGCGTCGCCGTCGAGCGCATCCCCGGGGCCGTCAAGGCGGGCTTCAAGCTCGGCTTCGGCTGCGCCGTGATCTCGTCGCAGTGCGCCACCGCGCTCTTCGCGGGCGGCAAGCGGGACCTCGCGGCGCTCCTCGCGGGCGACGACGGCGCCTTCGGCGCGGCGGCGGCGGCGCTCGCGGCGTTCCGCGAGGCGTCGCCGGCCCTGGGCGGGCTCCTCGCGGGCGCGCTGCCGACGCTGCGCGTGCTCTACGCGGTCTGCCACCCGGCGAGCTGGTCGCCCGAGGTCGTCGCGGTCGCGGCCGTCGTCCTGTTGGGCACGCTCCACGGCAAGAAGTTGTTGCCCAGGGGCGCGCCGCCGGGCGTCGAGGTGCTGGTCCTCGTCGGCGCCGCGGCGCTCTACAGCGAGCAGGTCGGCTACGGCGGGGGCGTCGTGGGCGCGCCGCCCGAGGGCGCCGGCGGCGCGCCGTGGGAGCGCATCGTCGCGCCCTGGGCGCTGCCCTGGGACCGGCTCGTCGACCTGTGCTTCGGCGGGTCCTTCCTCAAGCTGGCGCTGTCGGCCGCGACCTTCGCCGCCGTCGACTTCCTCCAGTCCGTGTCCGTGTGCTCGGCCTTCGAGTCGGAGAACGCGCTGTCGTGGTCCCCGAACCGCGAGCTCGCGGGCCAGGGCGTCGCGTCCGTGGCCTCCGGCGCCTTCCTCGGCGGGCCCTGCGGCGCGTCGCTGTCGCGGTCCATGCTCGCGCGCATGACGGGCGCGAGGAGCGCCAAGGCGGGCTTCGTCCACGGCGCCGCCGCCGTCGCGCTGCTGCCCTACGCGGCGGTGCTCAAGGCCGCGCCCAAGGCCGCGCTCGCCGCCGTCGTGCTCGCCGCCGTCGGGCCGGGCGTCGCCAAGCCCAAGGCGCTCCTCGCGCTCTCCGGCGCGGACGCGGCCGTGGGCTGGGCGACCGCGGCCGTGTCCGTCGTCGCGGACCCGACGTCGGGCTTCCTCGCGGGGCTCGCGCTGGCGGCGCTGCTGGCGCCCTTCAAGGGGAAGCAGGACTAAGGCGCGTTCGAAGCACGGGGGCATGGAGGCGCGGGGAAGACGTACAGGCCGCGGTGCACCATCAGCCGCGCTGCAGCTCCAGTCGCGCCGCGCCGCCCTCGGCGCCTTCTCCGGCGTCGCCCTGACGCCGCTCGTCGCGTCCGCCGACGACGGCGACGACAAGCCGAACCTCGCGAAAATCATCGGCAAGGCCGCGGGCGGCACCGGCGACGGCACGCCGATCGGCTTCCCCAACTCGGGCTACGCGGGCCAATCCTCAAAAAGCATCGGCGAGGCCTTCTCCGCCGCGACGGGCTTCGACGGCGATATCAAGAAGCTCAAGATGCCGGACCAGTTCACGGACAAGGCGTTCAAGAACAAGGGGCCCTGCACGCCGACGGCGTGGAAGCAGTGTCCGAACACGCCCTAGGCTAAGCAAGCTATGAGAGGCGGCCGATGTGAAACTCGGAGGCGGCCGATGTGAACCTTTAGAGAATGAAGCGGTCGAGCTTGTCCCCCCCGTCCAAGCTCGGCACGGCGTGCGTCGCGTCGAACGCGGCCGCCGCCGCGGCCGCCGCCGGGTGGTCGCCGTCGACGGTGGCCAGCGCGAGCCGCCGGTGGTCGTCGGCGTGGCCCTCGCGGAGCAGGGCCGCGAGGCAGGGGAGGAGCCGCGGATCCAGCAGGTGCAGGTCGTGGAGGACGACGGCGGCCGACGGCGACCGCCGCGCGTCCGAGAACAGGTCGACGAGGCGCCTCCGCGCGACGTCGAGATCCCTGCCCGCGAAGTGGGCGGCGTCGACGGCGCGCTGGAAGGCCAGGTCCGGCGCCGCGTCGAGGACGGCGTCGGCGAGCGTGCGCTTGCCCGCGCCGGCCGGGCCCACGAGCGCGAGGCTCTTCTTGCGGTCCGCGGCGGGCGCCGTCGCCGCCGCGGCGGACACGGCCGCGGCGGCGGCGAGGCAGGCGTCGCGCGCCTCGACGAAGGCGGCGTCGCCCGACCGGTCGAGGCTCTGGTCCGCGCGGGACCGCCGGCTCCTGCCGAAGACGGGCGTGACGTCGTCGGCGGCTCGCAGGAGGTCGTCCGCGGCGACGACGACCGCGTCGGGCTCGTCGCTCCGGAAGGCGCGCGCCAGCGCGAGGGACGACGCGTTGCGCACGGCGGCCTCGAGCTCCGCGCCGGAGAAGTTGGCCGTCTTCGCGTCCGCGAGCTCCCGGAGAGCCGCGCGCTCCGCGTCGCCGAGCGTCAGCGCGCCGGACGCCTCGAGCGCGCGGCAGTGGAGCCGCAGGATGTCGTAGCGGCCCGGCGCGTCCGGCAGCGCGATCTCGACCTGCACGTCGAGGCGGCCCGGCCGCAGCGCCGCCGGGTCCACGAGGTCCAGGCGATTCGTCGTCCCGATGACCAAGATGTTGCTCTGCTGGCTCATGCCGTCGAGCTTCGCGAGAAGCTGGTTCACGACGCCGTCGCGCGCCGCGCCCCCGAAGGACCCGTCGCCCGTCTCGCCGCCGCCGCGCTTGCGCATGATGGCGTCGCACTCGTCGAGCACGACGACGTGCAGCGACGACGCGCGGCCGAGGCGCTTCCACTCGTCGTCCGCGGGCTTGAAGAGGCCGCGCACGGCCTGCTCCGATGCGCCGAGCAGGTGGCTGAAGACCTCGGGCCCCTCGACGACGACGGGCTTCCGGTCGCCCAGGACCCTGGCGAGGCCGCGCGCGATCAACGTCTTGCCCGTGCCCGGCGGCCCGTGGAGCAGCAGGCCGCGCGCGTGGCGCAGGCCCAGGCGCTCGCGCGTCTCCGCGGGCACCATGCGCGACATGAGCACGCGCCGCAGCACGCCGCTGAGCTCCTCGCCGAAGCCGCCGACGCCGAGCGCGGCGCCGAGGTCCTCGGAGGCGTCGACGATGGCCCGCCGCTGCTTCTCGGCGATGCTCGCGCTCGACGTTTGCTTCGCGGGCAGCGCGAAGCGGCGCCGCGTCGGGCGCGCGAGGGTGTTTGCGAGCGTGCGGAGCAGCATCGTCGTGTGTGTGCTTTGCAGGCGACTGCGTCGGGCTAATGTGACGCGGCGTCTAGCGGCGGCGGTGTGCGCTTTGCAAGTGGACTGCGTCGGTGGCGGCGCTGCTATGTGACCGCTTTGCAATTGCACTGCGTCGGTGGCGGCGCCGCGATGTGACGCGGCCGGCGGCTTGCCTCCCGCGGGCGGACGTTGATGACTCGTTGACGCTGTTCTCCCGCCATTCTCCTCAACTCTCCCGCGCGCGACTGTGCACAACGATGAACACGAAAAAAAAAAGGACAACAAAGGGGTCGGTTAATTGCGGCGGCGCCTCACGGCTCGAAGGCGAAGGCGGCCTCCGGCGGCACGGGCCGCGGCGTCGGACTCGGGCACGTCGCGACGCCCCCCTCCTCGCACTCCTCGGACTGCGCCTTGTAGCTCAGCAGCTCCACGGCCTTGGGCGCGCCCCAGCCCAGGAACTCCTCGACGGGCGCCAGCCCGAGCTCCTTGGCCGTCTCGACGAGCGCCAAGATTTGCGACGCGCACCACTTCTGGACGACGAGGTCCCGCGCCCAGCCCGGGATGGCGCCGCCCGGGTCCACGCAGGAGTAGTGCGAGATCAGCGTCTCCGTCTCGGACACGGCCGTGAAGTTCCACCAGACCTTCTGGGCCTTGGTCCGCACCGCGCCGCGCGCGACGGGCGTGCCGTCGTCGACGGACTCGTAGCGCACGGCGAGGCGGTTCTCGTCGGGGTACGGGTACGTCGTCATCTTGAGCACGAGCTCCCGGTCGCGCACGGGCCAGGGCTGCTGGAAGCGCTGGTAGATGAAGTCCGCGCCGTCCGCCCGCCACTGCCGCTTCTCGACGAGCGTGTCGTCCCACTTGTCGTACTGCTCCAGGTCCAAGAAGACGGTCATGAGCTCGGCCATGGACAGTCCCACGACGGCCTCGCCGTGGACGGCGCAGAGCTGCGACGCCTCGTCGATGCGGGCCCGCGTGACGACGCCCCGGTTCTCCGCGACGACGCGCCACTCGGGCGACAGCTTCGCCGACGTCGTGAGCGCCAGCGTCGCGAGGAGGGGCGCTCTCATGCTTGCTGCTTCGTTGGTCACGTGCTTCGGCTGCTTGGGCCCGACTTGAAACAAGCTTCGGCGGCGGCGGGTCGGACGCACGATCAATTGTCGCTCGACAAGCTTCAATGTTGGTGCATCTTTGAGGCCGTAGGGCAAACGGGACGAAAGAAGCCGGGATGGCCGCGGTTGGCGTCGGGTTGGGATCGTCGGTTTGGTAGGCGGGGGTGGCGTTCCATGACGCGGGAGCGGAAGAAGACGATCTGGGACCAGCTCCCCAACGCCGTGAGCGGCATGCGCTCGCCGCTGAGCTCGGCCCAGCAGGCGCGGAGCAAGATGCTCTGGGGGCGGCTGCGCACGGGGCTGCCGCTGCGGACCGCGGAGCAGTCGCGGCGCCTGCAGCTCATGAAGCGGCTCCACAAGCGCTTCGCCAAGGGGCGCCTCGAGCTGCCCGTGGAGCAGCGGCGGCGCGACGCGCAGATCGCCGTCGTCGACTCGGGCGGCCTCGCGGCGCGCGGCGGCGACGACCGGCGGCGGACGACGCCGAAGCGCCACGCGACGACGGCGAGCCGGGGCCTCTACCAGATCTCGAGCTGGCTCGACGCGCGCGTCGGCGTCATCCACCCGCTCGCGCCGCTCAAGCTCCGCTGGGACTCGTGCACGGGCTTCGCGCTCGTCCGCGCAGGAAACAACGCGACTTCAATAGGCATGTGTTTGCAGGATATCGTTGCTCTCCTGTCTGAAAAGCAGTCGCCGAGAGAACACGATCCGTCCGAAACTCAGCCGAAACAACGTCGACGCGACCGAGCTCGAGAGGTTCGAAGCTTTTGCCGGACGGGGCGTTCCACTGGTTGGTTCCGGCGCAGGTGCTCATGCTCTGCCTCATCATCACGCCCTACCAGCTCTGCTTCGAGCGGTCCAACAGCGGCCCCTTCTCGCCCATCGAGTCGCTGAACCTCGCCATGGACATGTGCTTCCTCGCGGACTTTTTGATTACGTTCCAGACGGGCATCGTCGTCCAGGGCGGCGTCGTCGAGAGCCGCTACGTCATCGCGAAGACCGGCGTCCCGCGGCGAGTTTCGAGAGCTTTCGACCGGGGACACGACGAGCCATCGTCACCGACGCGCTCGGTAGGCCAAGACCTACCTCAAGGGCTTCGCGACCATCGACCTGCTGGCGAGCGTGCCCTTCACGCACATCTTCCTGCTCATCAAGCACAACGAGAACCGGTCCGCGGGCCGCGCGAGCTCGCTCACGCGGCTTTTGAAGATCCTCAAGGTGAGCCGCATGCTCAAGCTCTTCAAGCTCGCCAAGCTCATGAACGGCGCGAGCCAGTGGGACGACGACCCGAGCCACCAGCTCCTCGCCGACGGCCGCCACTTCGTGCACCTCATCATGGGCGTGCTGCTCATGGCGCACCTCGCCGCGTGCATCTTCGCGCTCATCGCCGACGGCGGCGGCACGGCGGGCGACGGCTGGGGCGCCCAGACCTGGGTCGCGGACTACTTCAACGACGGCCACGCGCTCTACAAGAACGACGACGACGACTTCTTCCTCTCGGAGGCGCAGCTCCGCAACGCGAGCGACGTGCTCCTCGGCGACGTGACGGCCGCGGAGCGCCTCGCGGCCGTGCGCTCGGCCGCGGGCTACCACCGCGACGCGTCCTACCCGGACCCCTGGCGGCTCTACGTCGTCGCGCTGTCCGCCCGCGGCGTCTTCCTCGCGCGCCGCGGCCCGCGCGGACGCGCGCGCGCGCAGGTACTGGGCCTTCACGACCCTCACGACCGTGGGCTACGGCGACGTCAAGCCCGTGAGCGACGGCGAGATGTTCTGGACCATCTTCGTCCAGTTCGCGGGCACGTGCTGCCTCGGCTACGTCATGGGCGACGTCGCGGCGATGCTCACGCGCGAGGACATGAGCCTGACGCAGATCAAGGAGAAGGTCGCGCGCATCAACGCCTACATGCGGCACCGCGACCTCCCGCTGGCCATCAAGCTGCAGATCCGGAGCCACTTCTCCTACCTCTGGCAGCGGACGTCCGTCTGGGACGAGGACGAGATTTTGCTCGAGCTGCCGTCGTTCCTGCGGACGGAGGTGACGCTGCACAACAACCGCGCGATCATCCAGTCCGTGGCGTTCCTGGACAATTTGGACGCCCAGTGCCTCGCGAAGGTCTGCCTGAAGCTGGTGTTGACGCGCGTCGCGCCGGGCGCGATCGTCGTCCGCGAGGGCGAGGTGGGCAACGACCTCTACTTCATCGCCAACGGGTCCATCGCGCTGCTCATCACGCTCCCCCCCGGCGTCGCGGCGGACCTCGACGTCGAGCCGCGCGCGGGCTTCGCGACGCTCCGGCGCGGCGACTCGTTCGCGCACTACTCCATCGCGGCCACCAAGACGGCGAAGCACCCCTACTCCGCGCGGTCCCTCGACTCGTCGGAGCTCCTCGTGCTGTCGGCGCCGAACTTCCGGGCGCTGCGGGACGAGTTCCCGAACTTCGGCGTCGCCATGGGGCGCCTCGTCGCCGCGCGGCGCGCGGCGTTCTACGGCCGGCTCACGTCGACGCGCCACCTCACGGCCGTGCGCCACGCGGTCGTGCGCTACGGCCTCGCGGACGACGGCGAGCCGCGGTCGTGCTATCGCAGCTGCGGGCGGAGCCTGCGCGGCGGCCGGCCGCGCGACCGGGGGAGCCTCGCCGGGGGCGCGGCCGGCGGCGCGTACGACGCCTTCGGGCCCTCGGAGCACGACGCGTCCGTGCTCGACGACTTCGAGGAGCAGCGCTCCGTGCGCGCGCACCGCCACGACCCGCCCGCGCCGCGGTCGAAGCTCCCGGACGGGCTCACGGCGCGCGTCGCTTTGGCGGCGTGCCTCTGGCTGAAGAGGGCGCAGCACACGCTCGCCTTCCGCGCGGACGACGACCTCGCGCGCGTCGAGCCGCCGCCCGACGGGCGCCACGAGTCGCTCTCCGACGCGCCGCGGCGCCGCGACTCGGACCCGGACGCCGCCGTCGCGCGCGGCGACGGCGAGCGGCCCGCGGACGGCGGCGGCGACGACGGCGGCGCGGACGTCCTCGACGGCGCCGCGGCCCTCCGGGCGCCCGCGACGAGCGACGCGCGGCCGCCGCCGGCGCCGCCGCGCGTCGACGCCCCCGCGCTCCGCGCCGTGCACAGGCGCGTCGACGCGCTCGAGGCGCGCATCCTCGACCGCTTCGACGAGCTCGAGAACGCCATGAAGGCGGGGCTCATGAAGACGCTCCGCAAGTTCAGCCTCGAGGAGAAGAACCGCGACTTCGCCAAGGGCGTCGCCAAGCTCCAGCGGTCCGTGTAAAGCGCCGCGGTTTCGTCTCGGGATCCCGGGAGGTTTGGTTCAACTTGGTTCAGTGCCGTTCAATCCCTCGTCAACATTGGCCACATCGCAAACGCAGCATTATCGACGGCATGAGGAGCTCGGCGGTGCTCCTCTGTCTGCTGTGGCTGCAGGCCGTCGCCGGCGGCGACGACCGGCGATCGCTCGCCGAGGACGCGGCGCCGGAGGTCGAGATGGTGACGAGCCTCGGCAGCATGCGCTTCATGCTCACGCCGCAGATGACGCCGGCGACCGTGAGCAACTTCCTGGCCTACGTCGACGACGGCTTCTTCGACGGCCTGATCTTCCACCGCGTCATCGAAAACTTCATGGTCCAGGGCGGCGGCTTCGACGCGGCCATGCACCAGCGGGCGACGCGCGACCCCATCCCGCTCGAGGCGGCGTCGGCGACGTCGAACGGGCGAGGCACGATCGCCATGGCGCGCACCAACGTCGCGGCCTCGGCGACGTCCCAGTTCTTCGTCAACCACAAGGACAACGCGAACCTGGACGCGTCGAGCACGAGCCAGGGCTACGCGGTTTTTGGTTTTCTCGTCGGGCCGCCGGACGACCGGAGCGACGCGTCGCGCGGCCTCGCGACGCTCGACGCCATCGCCGCCGTCGCGACGCGCACCGTCACCGTCGACGGCCACGCCTTCCAGAACGTGCCCGTCGAGCCCGTGCTCATCACGTCGGTCCGGCGCGTCGGGCCGGCGCCGACGGCCGCGCCGACTGCGGCGCTGACGCTGGCGCCGACGGCGCTCGCCGCGCCGACGGCGTCGCCGTCCTACGGGCCCTCGACGACGACGAGGGCCAGCGACGGCACCGCAAAGGCGCCGACGCCGTCGCCCGTCGCCGCGCCGACGCCGCCGCCCGTCGCCGCGCCGACGCCGTCGCCCGTCGCCGCGCCGACGCCGTCGCCAATCGCCGCGCCGACGCCGCCGCCCGTCGCCGCGCCGACGCCGCCGCCCGTCGCCGCGCCGACGCCGTCGCCCGTCGCCGCGACGGCCGCGCCCGCGGCGCCGTCGCCCGCGCCCGTCGCCGCCGCGGCCGCCGACCCGTCGCCCGTCGTCGTCATCGAGACGTCCCTCGGGTCCATGGCGGTCGAGCTCACGCCGGGCTTGACGCCGCTGACGGTGGCGAACTTCCTCGCCTACGTCGACGACGGCTTCTTCGACGGCCTGATCTTCCACCGCGTCATCGAAAACTTCATGGTCCAGGGCGGCGGCTTCGACGACGAGATGAACGAGAAGCCGGCGCGCGATCCCATCCCCCTCGAGCGGTCCGGCGTCAGCAACCGGCGGGGGACGATCGCCATGGCGCGGACGAACCACCCCGACTCCGCGGCGTCGGAATTCTTCATCAACCACGCGGACAACAAGTTCCTCGACAGCCGGAGCGACCACAACGGCTACTGCGCCTTCGGCTTGATCGCCGGCGACGACGCGGCCGCGTCCCTGGCGACGCTCGACGCCATCGCGCGCGTCGCGACGCACACGGTCGCCGGGGGCCTCGACGACGTGCCCGTGGCGCCCGTCTACATCACGCGCGTCTATCGCGCCGCGTCGCCCGCGGATCCGGCGGCGTCGCCCGCGCCGACGGCGCGGCCCAAGGCGCGCGATTCGTCGCCCGCGCCCGCGCCCGCGCCGACGCCGCGGCCCTCGGCGGCGACGAGGACGGCGGCGCCGACGATCGCCGTCGCGAGCCTCGACGCGCCGGCGGCCATCGCGGCCGCGGGCGTCTCGGCGGCCTTCTTCTCCCTGTTCCTCGTCGTCTACTGCTGCAAGTGGAAGCGCGAGCTCTCGCCGACGACCCACGACTACGAGCTCCCGCCGAGCCGGGGGCACACGGCGCTGACGACGGACGACGACATGTACCTCCTGTAAACTTTAATTCAACACGACGTGTAAAATATTCACCTTGAATTCAAACGAGCAGTTGGGCTTATGGATGCGCACCGATGATGCTCGTCGCGGCTGCGCTGCTGCTCCATGGCGTTCGCAGCGACCGCGCCTGCGGCCGGCGCGGCCCCTTCGCCGGCGGCGCGGCGCCGTACCGCGCCTACTGCATGGGCGACCGCGAGCCGCCGAAACTGCGGGAGAACTGCCTGCGGCCGGAGGTGGAACCGGCGCAGGCCGCGTGGCTCGGCGCCGCCGAGTCGTCGGGCGCGCTGCTGCGCGACTACTGGCGGCGCGTCTACGGCGGCGACGTGCCGTCTCCGCCGGCCGCGGCGCGGGCGACCTTCTTCTGGGATTCGGTTCCGAACCGGACGTCGTTCGCGGCGCAGTGGTCCTGCTACCAGTGCCCCAGGTACGGCTATTTAGCGCCGGGCCGGCTCTGGGCGCCCGTCGAGGAGGCCAAGGTCGCGCCCGCCATGCTCACGGACCCGGAGCTCCGGGCCCAGTGCGTCTCCGGGAGGGGGTGCGGCGGCAAGCGGCTCTGGCGCGACCTCGAGCGCGGCTACGGCGAGCCGCGGCTCCGCTTCCCGGGCTTCTTCGTCCAGCGCTACGACCCGGACCGCCTCGACGCCGTCTACGTCGACGGCGTGCCCGACGGGCGCTGGGTCGAGGTGCTCCGCGTGTCGCGGCTCGAGACGAAGCGCGCGCCCACGGAGGTCTGCAGCCGCGGCCAGGTCTGGTTCTGGCGCGCCGCGGGCTCCGGCGTCTGGCTCGACGTCGGGAGATCGCTGCGCCGCAACGCGACGGACGGCGCCCACGCCGAGTCGTGCGCGGACGCGCGGCGCGCGGGCTACGACACGATCCAGCTGCTCCGGTCGTTCCACGGCTACTCCTACGAGATCCTCGACTGCCGCGGCGCCGACCTGCCCCGGAGCCGCGAGGTCTGGACCGACGCCTGCCCGCCGGACCACGTGCCCCTGCGCTGGGGGCTCCCGGTGCCCCGCCACGCGCCGCAGCTCGACGGCGCCGACGCGGCGTGGGGCGGGCCGTGCGCGTGCGACGCGCGCGTCGCCTACGCGAACTGCGGCGCGGCGCCGCCGCGGCCCTGCGACCTCGACCCCTAGGACCCTTAGGTCGCGTCGAGGAGCGGCGGGAGGTCGTCGTCGACGGGCGGCGGCGAGCGCCGCCGCGGCGGCGGCGCGGCGGCGCCGCCCCGGGCCTCGCTCGCGAGGAGCGTCGTGACGCAGCAGACGGCGCCCGCGGAGACGCCCCGGACCTTCTCGAGGATCGCCGACGCGCCCGCGACGCCCTCGAGCGCGAAGACGCGCGCGAGGTCGCCCCAGGCCAGCTCCTCGTCGTCGAGCGCCGCCGCGAGCGCGGCGGGCCGCCGCGCGCCGGCCTCGGCGAGCTTGAGCCGCAGCGCGAGGCGCGGCGGCGGCCCGCCCGCGGGGCGGCCCGCGGCGAGCGCCGGCGGCGCGACGATGGCCGCCAGGGGCTCGTAGGGGCGCGCGAGCCCGGTGCCCTTCGGCCGGCGCTCGGGCCGCGCGAGCGCCGACCGGAACGCGTACCGGTCGGAGCCGTCGGCGGCGGCGGCGGCGGGCACCTTGGCGCCGGACCACTTCACCGCGCGGAGCGGCGCGTCCCCGGCCTCGCGGACGCTCGCGTCCGCCGCCGTCGGCCACTCGGACGCGTCGCCGCCCTTGCCGCCGCCCCTCGCCGCGCCCCGGGGGCCGGCGCCGCGGCCGCCCTTGGCCGCGGCGCCGACGGCGCCGGCGCCGCGGCCGCCGCCCTTGGCCGCGCCCTCGACGGCGGCGCCGCGGCCGCCGCCCTTGGCCGCGCCCTCGGCGCCGGCGCCGCGGCCGCCGCCCTTGGCCGCGCCCTCGACGGCGGCGCCGCGGCCGCCCTTGCCGAGTTTGCCGCGGCCGCGACCCCGCGGTTGGGCGGAGAGGAACTGCTGCGCTTCGCGCTGGTAGTCCGCGTCGGGCTTCGGCTTGCCGCCGTCCCAGGTCGCGAGGGGCCGCGGGTTGCAGCCGTAGCCGTGGTCGTACGCGGAGGTCGCGTCGGCGCCCCGCTCCTGGCCCTCCTTGGCCACGGGCGCGCTCACGACGACGTCGAAGCGCACGTCGCGGCGCCACGACCCCGCCCAGGCGCCGTTGGCGTAGAGCGCGCCGTCGAACCCGACGGGGACGAGGTAGCGCCCGCGGTGCGGCCCGTCTCGGAGCGAGACGACGACGTGCGGCGCGTCGTCGAGCTTGCACGAGAAGCGCCTCGCGTGGCTCCGGAGGGCCTCGCGGTCGCTCCGCCGCAGGTCCTCGTAGATCTCGACGATCGCGCCCGTGAGGCTCTGGCCGGGCTTCGGCGCGGCCCCGGCGACCCGGCGGCCCGGCGCGGCCGGCGCCTTCGGGGCCGGCGCCTTTGGAGTCGGGAGGAGGTCGCCGAGCGTCACCGCCGGCGAGGCGGTGCGCTTCTCGGCCTTCTTCGCGGCCTCCTTCTCCTTCTTGCGGTCCTTCTTGCGGTCCTTCTCCTTCTGCTCGAGCTCCTTCCGCTCTAACTTCTCTAACTTCTCCTTCTCCCGTCTAAGCTGGCGGTTCGACTTCTTCTCCGGCGCGTCGCCGGCGCCGCCGGCGTCGCCGCCGGGCCGCGCGGGCGCCGGCGCGGGCGCGGTCCGGGGCCCGGCGACGACGGCCGCCGCCCAGGTGCCCGCGGGCGCCGCGGGCGCCGCCTGCACCGCGGCGGCGCGCTCGCTGTCGCGCTGGCGGTTCTGCTCGTCGAAGGCCCAGCGCTGGATGCGCTTCGCGGACTCGTCGTCGACGCCGATTAACCGGAACTCCTCGATGGTCAGGTTCCGCACCGTCTCCACATCTTCGACGCGCTCGATTTTGAAGTTATCGTAGTAGGCCATGAGGTTCAGTGTTTTGAGCATCGACTCCACCGACGTCCGCGCCATGGCGTTCGGCGGCGCGCGCCGGCGCGCCGGATGCGCTGCGCACGTGCGGTCGCTGGCGTCGCGGTGGACCGCGGCGGCGCGCTGGCGGCGAATCACTCGCGTGTCAAAGGCACACAAGCGATGTAGGCCATGCCGCTTTGAAGCAGCTCGGCGAGCGAGCCGATCGCTGCACAAGCAAGGCCCTCGCGCGCTGCGACACACATGTCGCCGCTCGCGTCGCCGCCGCCCGCGCTAGACCCGCGTAAGCCCCCCCCCTAGGCGGCCTTGGGCTTCTTCCGTTCGACGAGCGCGGCGGCGGCGTACTCGCCGACGTACTTGTGGAGGAAGACGAGCGCGAGCGCGGCCCACTGGACGGGGCCGACCGCGTGGCCGAAGATGGCGACGGAGAGGAGGACGGAGAGGACCTTGCGGAGCGTCGTGATCGTGGCGACGACGATGGTGCCGGACTCGCGGAGGAGCTTGTAGACGCAGAGCGTCCCCAGCGCCTTGGACACGAGGAACGCGCCGAGGTCGAGCGACACGTCCGGGTGCGCGCGCACAAAGGCCAGCGCGCGGGAGGCCTCGTCGCCGTTGCTCCAGCACGTCGCGTAGGAGAGGAGGCCCTGCCACGCGTTCATGTGCAGCATGAGCGTCCACTCGCTCGCGCACCGCGACACGAGCGCGGTCTGGTAGCCCGCGTACCTAGGGACGCGCGGATCCGGAACGAAAAAAAACGCGGCGCCGGCGGACGCGCGTGCCGTCGGCGAGGAGCGCGCCGACGACGAGGACGACGCCCCGGAGCGACGTCGACCGCTCGGCGTGCGCGGCTTCCTCGGGCGTAAAAAGGAGGAAGAGCGCGACGCCGACGCACATGGCGAAGACGCCGCAGAGCTTGGCCGCGCCGTGGCGCTTCGTCGTCAGGAGCCGCTCGCCGATGACGACGGGGATCGCCTTGCAGCTCTTGAAGGTCACGTGCACCGGGTAGCTGAGGTGGTGCAGCGACGCGAGGCCGAGCCAGTGGCTCGCGTAGTAGGCGCCGACGACGACGACCCAGCGCGCGTAGTGCCGCTCGCCGTCGCCCGCGCCGGCCGCGCGCGGCGCCCGCGGCCGCGCGAGCATGCCGAGCGCGACGGCCGCCGCGGCGACGGACTGCGCGAAGAGCAGGAAGTTCTTGAAGTGGAACGGCGCCTCATCGGCGCCGTAGCGCTTGCTCGTCAGCGCCTCCTGCGTCAGCGAGCTCACGCTGAAGCAGCAGAGCACGCCCACGGAGAGCAGCCCTTGCACGACGGGCGTCGCGAGCTCCTCCGCCTTCGCCGGCGGCGCGCCGCCGCCCATGGCGCTTCGGTGGCTGGTGCGCCGCGCGCCGCCGGACGCGTGCTGGCGAAAGCGCAGTGCCGGCCAGCAGGAAACAGCCGCCAAGTGACGACGGACGAGGGCCTCGGTGGCGCCCGATGTGCAGCTCAGAGGCTCGCCAACTAGGACTTCACCTTTTTGTACATAACTTCAACATGAGTACCTGAAGCCGACATTCTCGGTAGTATTCTCGGCTCGGCTTTGAGTTGGCTTTGTTCAGCTTGGGTCTTAGGGCCGGCGCTCACAGCTCCTCGGCGCCGAAGGACTGCTCGCGGCCGTTCGCGGCGTCGACGGTGATCGTGTTGAGGCGGTCGCCGCCCTCGTAGATGTGCCAGACGTGGCCGTGGAACGTGTCCACGCGGAGGGTCTGGCCGTAGTTGAGCTGGCGGAAGAAGACCTCGCCGTTGCCCGTGTCGAAGTGGACCCGGAGCTCGGCCTCGTCGGCCGTCCCGCGGTAGTAGTAGGCCGGCTCGTCCGCGGCGGCGCCGTCGTCGTCGTCGTCGTCCGGCGCGGACGCGCGCCGCGTCGGCGCCACGACGACGAGCTTCACGGGCGTCTCGTCGAAGGGCACGAGGCCGCGCGTCGACGAGTAGCGCTGCTGCGCGCCGTCGCGCGCGTCGACGACGAGCGAGAGGAGCTTCGTACCGCCGTCGGCGGACCTGAAGGTCCAGGGCTCGCCCGCGAGCGTGTTGAAGCCCTGGTGCCGGCCCGGGCCGAGCTCCGCGAGCTTCGTCTCGCGCCAGAAGAGCGCGACGTCCTCGCCGCGGTCGTTCGCGAACTGCACCGTGACGTCGCGCGCGTCGTCGCGCGCCTCGCCGTCGAAGGCGAAGAGCGCGTCGACGCTCTCCTCGTGGAGCCGTCGCCGGTCGACGTGGTCCAGCACGCCCGCGTCGGCGACGGACGTCGACGGGTGGCGCGCCGCGCAGTGCACGCGGTCGACGTCGACGCCCGCGTGGTGCCGCAGGACGCCGCCCCGCCCGTAGAGCTCGACGAGCGCGTCGGCGGCGTGGCACTCGACGGTGCCCAACGTCTCCGCGGGCGCGTAGAAGGGCGACCGCACCAACGTGACGACCTTGGGCCGCGGGAGCAGCTTCGCGACGGCCGAAAACGCCCGTATCGCGCCGTCGACGACGGCCGGGTTCGTCTCGTAGGGCTGGTCGAGGAAGCCGGCGACCTTGTTCCTCACGTTGCCGTGCCGCTCCTCGAGGCCCACGAGCGCGGCCTCGCGGAGCCGCACGATCTCCGCGATCTTGCCGAGGCGCGCCGCGTCGTGCTTCAAGTTGAAGCCGCGGTTCTTGAACGCGTCGACGACCGCGCCGACGAGGAAGTTGTGGTGGAGCGGCGCGGGGCCGTCGAGCTTCGTCGGCTCGCGCGCGCAGTCCGCCGGCGGGGCCCTGGAGAAGTCGTGGCCGCCGTCGAAGACGCACAGGTCGTGCGCGAGGCGGTAGAGCCGCCGGAGGTCCGGCGCGGGGACGGCCGTCCGCAGCGTCAGCGCGCCGGGGCTCGTCGTCCCGAAGGCGTCGAGGTCGACGTCGAGGACGACGTCGTGTGCGCCGACGAGGCCCGGCAGCACCGCCGCGGCGTCCTCCAGAGCGACGACGGTGTAGCGCAGCGCCTGCGGCAGGTGGAGGTCCCCGCGGCGCTCCGCGACCTGGCCCGCGTCGAAGAAGCCGTCCATGAGGCTCGCGTCGCCGGCGACGGCGACGCGCGCGGCGCCGCCGGGTTCGTCGAGGCCCACGCGCAGCTCCATCGTCACGTTGTGGAGCTTGACGCACTGCACGGACCACGGCGGCTCCACGAAGACGACGTGCTCGACGGCGCCCTTCCACGCGAGCGCGAGCAGGAAGTTGTTGATGTGCACGTGCTCGAGCAGCGCGTCGTGGGTCTCGCTCTCGGTCCAGAGCTTCTCGGGCAGGCCGCCGTCGTGGTGGCTGTCGAAGTGCACGAGCGTCGCGCCCGCGGCGAGCTTGCCCGACGCCACGGCCTCGAGCAGAAATGGCACGACGTGGTGGTGCTCCTCGACGAGCACGTAGTCCGGGTACTCTTCCGCCGCGCGCGCGAGCGCGCAGAGCGCGACGGCGAGGCGCAGCATGCTGGTGTGGTTCTAGTGCGCGAGTGCAGGATCGCGCGCGCGCGTCGCCGCGCGCGTTGCCACTCGCAAGAGCGTATCTTTGAGGAGTTTGCGCGTCGCTCAGGAGCCGCGTGCAAGGCGCGAGGGCGACCGGCGGAGCGCTGGAAGTCAGGGCACCATCGTCCCTCGACGAGCTCTTGCCGCGCCGAAGTCGACTCGAGCGCCTTCGCTGTCCGCGCCTCCGACGCCTCAGCGGCCGCCGGTGCGCCTCCTTTTCTTAGCGCGCGGGCTCTGCGGGGCTCGTCGCTGCCTGGTCCGCCACCATGTTCATGGCGAAGAGCGAGTACGACCGGGGCGTGAACACGTTCAGCCCCGAGGGCCGCCTCTTCCAGGTGGAGTACGCCATCCAGGCCGTCAAGCTCGGGTCGACGTCCATCGGCATCAAGACGGCCGACGGCGTGGTGCTCGCCGTGGAGAAGCGCGTCACGTCGACGCTCATGGAGAGCAGCTCCATCGAGAAGGTCATGGAGATCGACTCGCACTGCGGCGCGGCGATGTCCGGCCTGATCGCGGACGCGCGGACGCTCGTGGACCACGCGCGCGTCGAGGCGCAGAACCACCGCTTCACCTACGACGAGCCCATGCCGACGACGGCGCTGACCCAGAGCGTCTGCGACCTCGCGCTGTCCTTCGGCGAGGACAGCGAGGAGCGCGAGGGCGGCGGCTCGAAGATGAGCCGCCCCTTCGGCGTCGCGCTCCTCGTCGCGGGCTACGACGACGACGGCGCCCAGCTCTACTACGCGGACCCCAGCGGCACCTTCACGCAGTACAAGGCCAAGGCCATGGGCTCCGGGGGCGAGGGCGCGCAGTCGAACCTCCAGGAGAGCTACAGCGAGTCCATGTCCTTCGCCGACGCGGAGGTGCTCGCGCTCAGCACGCTCAAGCAGGTCATGGAGGACAAGCTCACGACGGACAACGTCGACGTCGCCTCGGTGACCAAGGACGGCGGCTTCCACGTCTACACGGAGGCGGAGATCACCGCCGTCGTCGCGCGCATCGCGGCCTAGGGCGCCGGATCGCCCGCGCGCCGCGCGCGCCCTGCCACGCCCGCCCGCGCGCCCCGACGCTTTGCTCCGTAACGCTCGAACGACGGACGCCTAGGACCGCGCGCCGTCGCGGATCGCGGCCAGCGTCTGGCCGCCGACGTGGAGCACGACGAACGGGTTGCACTTGGGCACGGGGTGGTCGCTGAGGCAGTGCTGCACCCACGAGTTCGGCGTGGCCTATGGCGGTGTGTTTCGGGCCGCGCGCCGTCCGCGGCGCGCTCTCTCGGGGACCCGGGAAGACGCGCGTAGACGACGCCCTTGGCTTCGATGCTGCCGTCCTTGTTCAGCACGCCCTGCGCGCGCGCGCGGTCGACGCGCGCGGTTGGAATGCGCGCGCACCTTCTTCGTGATGCGCGTCGGCTTCGACTTGTGGTGGTCGAGCGTGATGGGCCCCGGCGCCAGCAGCTTCTTCTTGAGCATCTGCACCACGGTCAGCAGCTGCCCCGCCTTCTCCGCGGCCACCTTGCGGGACTTCTTCGACACCGTCTTCGTCTTCGCGGGCTTCTTCGTCTTCTTCTCCTTGGATGCCAGCACGGCCCGCAGCTTTTCCAGTTCGCGCTTGTTCGCTTCCTCCGCCGCCTTGTTTTCCTCCTCGATCTTCGCCAGGCGCGAGCTCGTGCGAGGCATGGTGCTGCGGACCGTCGAGGCGGCCGGAGACGCGGGGCTGCCGGTTGGCGTTCGGGTCGATCAAACTGAGGCTCAGACTCGAGGTCAAGCGGCCGCGCGGTGATGTTTGCCCTCAGGATAGATGTTGACCTCGATGAGTGTTGAGCTCCACGCTCCGCAAGACGAGCAGAGCCTCCACCAGCGATACCACTAGATTGATGTACTTTGCCTCTGCCATCATGTTCCTCGCCACCGCCGTCCGGTCCTGCCGCGCCTTCGTCCCGCGCGCGGGCCTCACGATGGCGCCGGTTCGCGCGCCGGTGCGCATGTTCTCCGGCATCGAGATGCGAGGAACGCGGCGTCAGCGATTCGCCCGTTTCGGCGGGCGCGGGGCCGCCCCCCCGGCGCCCGGCAGCTCCAAAATCCAGCGGGGCCAGCGCCGCGACGCCCGCGACGCCGCAGGTCCGACGAGAAGAAGATCGGCACGGTCAAGTGGCGCGCGCCGGCGCCCGTTCAGACGTAGTTGCGGTTCCCTCCGCGCGCGCCGCCGCGGCCCGCCCCCGCCCCCGCGCCGCCCGAACGAGCGGCGCCCCGTCCCCCCCCCCGCCCCGCCGCCGCGCCCCGCACGGCTGCAACAACTCACGGCGACGTCCCCCAGGTTCAACACCGTCAAGGGCTACGGCTTCATCACGCCCGACAACGGCGGCGGCGACGTCTTCGTGCACCAGACGCAGATCTACGCCCGGGGGTTCCGCTCCCTCGCCGAGGGCGAGAACGTCGAGTTCGAGATCGAGATGGACCAGAACGGCCGCGAGCGCGCCGTCTCCGTCACGGGCCCGGAGGGCGACTACGTCCAGGGCGCGCCGCGCCCCGAGCCGCGCTACGAGGACTCCTACTAGGCGCTCGTCGCTGCAGGCCACGACGCAGCATTCGTTCGCAGACGCACCCCGCTCCCGCCCACCAACATCTCCGCCGCCGAGGGGCGCGGCGGCCGCGCGCTTTCGAGCGGCGCGCGGACTCCGCGCCCCGCTCTGGGAGACCCCAAGTAACCCCTGTCCGCTCGAGTTGCTCTAGCGTGCGCCTCGCGTTGACCGGCGGCGCCGGCGCGGCTGGAACCGCGCGAGCCGCGGCGAGGCGGTCGTCGCGCGAGCGCTCGACGCGGAAGGGAGGACTCACGACGTCTTCGCGACGCGCGACAGCGATGCGACCGAGACGCGCAACGCCCCGTCCTCATCCGCCGCACCTGGGGACGCATGTGCCGTCCAGCAGCAAAAGCAGAGGTTCAAGTATGAGGTTCAAGGTGGAGATCGGTAGTTACTCCTAACACTTTCAAGGATCGGCTGGCTCATTGAAGGGCTGGCCCCGTGAAGGTGGTGGCGGAGACGGGGCAGCCCATCCGCCGGCGGGCGCCGGCGGCCGGGTGATCCGCGGCGGACGAGAAGCACCTCTCGAGACCGTACGCGAACGGCGCCATGGCCGTCGCGGCGGGCGACGCCGCGGAGCCGCGGCCGGAGACGCCCGTGGGCTCGGACCCGCCGACGCCCTACCTCTTCAGCGGGCGCGAGGAGCGGCTCAAGGGCCTCAAGGAGAATCTGACGGACATCGACACGGGCAGCTACGCCGTGCCGGACCCGGCGCCGGGCGTCCGCTGGAACGGGAGCGACGCGTCGCCGCAGCGCCTCGACGGCGACGGCGCCGCGCCGCCGCCGCCGGACGCGCCGGAGGAGGAGGAGCCGCTCCCCGAGTGCCCGGGCACGCCCTACGGCATGTTCGGGCGCCGCGTGGATTTGAAGGGCGCGGCGGCCGAGGCCTTCCAGAAGCCCCGGGACCACGCGGGCCCGGACACGTGGACGCCGCGGCGGACGTCGATCCTCGACGACGAGGGCGAGGGCGAGGTCGTCGAGATGCGCCTCGCGAACCGCCTCGAGACGCGCGCGTTCCACGACGGCGTCGACCGCTTCAAGACGGACGCGCCGGCGCAGACGCTGACCGTCGGCCCCGCGCTCCGCCGCGTCGACCACCCGCTCAGGGGCCCGCTCAAGGCCGCGCTCCTGGCCTGCGGCGGCGGGCGCCTCGAGGGGACCTTCGCGCCGCGCGAGCGGCCCCAGCCCGACGAGCAAGCCATCGCGGCCATGGCGTCCAAGGCGTCCGCGCCGGTGACGCTCCACGTCTACGCCGTGGGCCACGCGTCGAACCTGGCGCACCTCGAGCCGTCGGCCCAGGCGCTGCTCGGCGAGGCGGGCCTGCTCCACGCGGGCCTCGAGGTCCTAGGCGACGAGTGGAGCTTCGGGCCGCGGGCGGGGCGGCGGACGGGCGTCTACGCGGGCCGGCCGCGGCGCGCGCCGGGCCACACGTACCGCCAGTCCGTCTACCTCGGCGACTGCAAGCGGTCCGAGGCCGAGGCGCGGGCCGCCGTGCGGGCCCTGGAGCCGGACTGGCCGGGGGCGGGCTTCGACCTCCTCGCGCGCAACGGCGCGGCGTTCTGCTCCGCGCTCGCGGACGACCGGGCCGAAATCACATCTTCAACCCGACTTCAACGTGAGCGTATGCGACAGTTTCGACGCGACTTGTTCTGGCTCCGTGGAGAATTCGACGAGAGCAATCGATTCGTCCAAAAATCAGCCGAATCGACTTCGATGTGATCGAGCTCGAGAGGCTCGAAGTTTGGCCGGGACCGCCGAGACAGTGGTTGATTTCGGCACAGGCAGACGAGCTCGGCGTGGGCCCGCTGCCGCCCTGGGTCGGTCGCTTCGCCCGGGCGGCGGCGCTGCTCGACGCCGACGCCGCGGCCGCCGTCGCGTCGCTCCACGGCGCCGACGAGGCCGCGGCGTCGCGGCTCCAGGCCGCCGCGCGGGGCTTCCGCGCGCGTTTGCCGCCGCGGCCCGAGGCCGCGCGGTCGCCGTCGCTCAACGGCAGCGGCCTCAGCTTCACGCCGCGCCTGCCCGAGGCCGGCGAGCCGGACTCGCCGGACGTCTTCGGCAAGGACGCGCCGAAGATCAGCCCGAACGGCCCGCCGCCGCGGCGCGTCACGAGCAAGAAGGGCTCCATGCTCTTCCAGAAGCTCGCCGCCGACTCCGACTCCGACTCGGAGCCCGTCTCGCCGAGCGCCATGCCGACGCCGCCCTCGCCCCAGGCCTGGCTCCCGGACCCGGTGCCCAAGGCCGCCGCGGCCGCCTAGGCGCCGCCGCCCCCCGTCCGTGCCCGCGCGGGGGGGCCCTGTGTTCTTCAATTTACGGAAGTAGTGAACCGAGGATGGCCGCCGCCGCGGCCTGGCCCGAGCGGACGGCGCCCTCGATATAGCCCGCGCCGTAGCCCGCGACGTAGTCGGAGCCCGCGAGGAAGAGGCCCGGCGCCTTCTGCTGGGCGAGCCTGTGTGGAATTCAAATCTTCAACCCGACTTCAATGTGCGCATATGCGACAAGTTCGACGCAGCCTCTTCGGCCGTGCTTCGAGAACTCGACGAGAGCAATCGATCCGTCCAAAAATCCAAACCAGTGGTTGATTTCCACACAGGCGCGAGCGCTTCGCGCCAGAACGCGCCCTGACTCATCCCGGCGGAAAGTAGGACGTGTAGGCGCCCTCCGCGAAGGGCTGCGCCTTCCAGTCGTGGGCGACGACGTGCGTCGGCGCGTAGAGCCGCGAGTCGTTCTTCAACGCGCCGGCGAAGAGCGACGTCACGTGCGCGCGCCGCTCGGCCTCCGTGAGGCCGTCGAAGCGCAGGTTGCACGCGCCCTCGATCCAGCACATAAGCGCGCCGGGGCCGCGGGCGCGCAGGCCACTGTAGGGGCTGTGGTCCTCGCACGCGTAGACGTAGACGTCCCGCGCCGTCGCCGGGTCCGGGTCCGTCACGACGACCTGGCCCGAGTGGAAGGCGCGCCACCACGGTTCGTCGTAGATCAGGAAGTACTTCGTCGACGCGCCCATGGGCATGCGCTGGAGCAGCTGCTTCGTGATCGCGGAAAACGCGGGCGCGCGGATCTTCGCGACGACGGCGGGAGGACCCGTGACGACGACGTATTTCGCTAACACGCGGGCCCCGGACCGGAGCGCCACGCGCCACTTCCCGTCGCTCGCCGTCACGGCGACGACCTCCGCATCGAGCGCGACGCGGCCGCCGAAGCGCGCCGCGAGGGCGAGCAGGGGCCCCTGCGTGCCCCCGCGGATGCGGTACTGGTCGTCGTCGCCGCTGGACCAGCAGCCCTTGAGCGACCGGACCGTGAACAGCAGGCTCACGCCCGCGGGCTCCTGCGCGATCATGCCCCGGCACATGGACCGCAGGGCGCCCCGAGCCTCGTCTTTCGCCACGTTCGCTCGGATCCAGCTCTCGAAGGTCGACCCGTCGAGGGCGGCCCAGGCGTCGTCCTCGTGCGCTTCGCAGCCGACGGACGCCGCGAGGTTCGCCATGGCGGCGCCCGCGGCCTCGAGCTCCGCCCACGCGTCTTCCGGGAACGCGGCCCGCAGCTCCTCGGGCGACGAGAAGTCGCCGTTGCCCGTGGACGCGTAGAGCGTCGACGGCGCGAGCGTCGAGTCCGTGTCGACGCCTACCGAGCGCGTCGGTGACGACGTTCCGTCGCGTCCCGGTCAAAATCTCTCGAAAATTGTCGCGACCGCGAGACGCTGGTCGACGCCGAACCACCACCAGGGCCAGGTCTTCGACGGCTCCCGGAGGCCGCGCC